TTTGTATTTTCATAACAATTTGCCCCCTGAGGTTTATATTTCATAACAAATTACCCCATAATTTCTTATGCAAATATAGCATTCAGGGGGGAATTCGTAATTTCTCAAACCTCAGGGGTATTTGTAATTTAACCAAACCTTGAGGGGTATATGTAATTTGCCCAAACTAATAATATTTACAAACTTTTCTTACTAGTGGATGCGTCATGAAATAATAATACTTTGTTACTTGAAATGGGACCTACTAAAATAAAATTAAAAATTATTTGTTAGTGCAGCACAGGAACAAATCATAGCTTAGCCTTAAAAAATATTTTAAGGGTAAATTACACCGACCTCCTTGAGGTTTGAAGAAAATTCAACAAGCCTCATAGTTTTAATATAATTATACATATCTCCCCTTTAGTAAAGTTAAAAAACACCAAAACTAATGCAGATGGTATGAAACACAATGATACACAATGTAAGAGAGATGACAATGTCAATTTTTCATTCATACGACTAATGAATTTCTAATGAAAAAGGAGCAAAGCGTTTATATGAATTACAACCTTAAAAGGAGCCCATTGTAATTATGCAATCTTGAAAGGCTTACTGTATTTTCTCTAAATCTCGAGTTCAGTGTAATTTATCCTTATTTTAAATAGTAGAAGCAGCTGTATATATACCCTTATTTTAAATAGTAGAAGCAGCTGTATATATACCCTTATTTTAAATAGTAGAAGCAGCTGTATATATACCCTTATTTTAAATAGTAGAAGCAGCTGTATATATACCCTTATTTTAAATAGTAGAAGCAGCTGTATATATACCCTTATTTTAAATAGTAGAAGCAGCTGTATATATACCCTTATTTTAAATAGTAGAAGCAGCTGTATATATACCCTTATTTTAAATAGTAGAAGCAGCTGTATATATACCCTTATTTTAAATAGTAGAAGCAGCTGTATATATACCCTTATTTTAAATAGTAGAAGCAGCTGTATATATACCCTTATTTTAAATAGTAGAAGCAGCTGTATATATACCCTTATTTTAAATAGTAGAAGCAGCTGTATATATACCCTTATTTTAAATAGTAGAAGCAGCTGTATATATACCCTTATTTTAAATAGTAGAAGCAGCTGTATATATACCCTTATTTTAAATAGTAGAAGCAGCTGTATATATACCCTTATTTTAAATAGTAGAAGCAGCTGTATATATACCCTTATTTTAAATAGTAGAAGCAGCTGTATATATACCCTTATTTTAAATAGTAGAAGCAGCTGTATATATACCCTTATTTTAAATAGTAGAAGCAGCTGTATATATACCCTTATTTTAAATAGTAGAAGCAGCTGTATATATACCCTTATTTTAAATAGTAGAAGCAGCTGTATATATACCCTTATTTTAAATAGTAGAAGCAGCTGTATATATACCCTTATTTTAAATAGTAGAAGCAGCTGTATATATACCCTTATTTTAAATAGTAGAAGCAGCTGTATATATACCCTTATTTTAAATAGTAGAAGCAGCTGTATATATACCCTTATTTTAAATAGTAGAAGCAGCTGTATTAAATAACTATTTAGATAAACCCATCTCTTTAAAATACTATAAAATCTGGAAACATAAGGAAAAAGCTGGATCCGAGGAGGTCCCAACTGTGCACCTTCCAACCATTTAATTGAACAAATACTAATACAAAACAAATCCCCAGAGATTGCAGAGCAACTCTAACGATATGTACTAAGTGAGGCAATCAATAACTGAACAAAAATCAGTTAAGCTCCCACAAAAACCAAATCAGAATACCCCAATTGCTGGCAAAGAAAACATCAAACAATAAATGTATCCAAACATTAAAATTCAAAAATTTCTTGATTATAAACACAAACATAATATAGATTCAGTCATATATATATATATATAGACGAGTATATCAAGTGATGAAAAGAGCATACCTGTTGGATGAACAGCGTGCAAATCTCCTTAAAATTTTGAGATTTGTGCGATCTACCATACCACAGAGTTCTAAAGTTGATATACACTAATTCTACAGAGCTATAGAACCTGAAACAAAATTCAAAATCAAAACAAACCCAAAAAAACTGATCAGTACTTGCAAAGCAAACTCAAAATCAATTGTCGAAAAAATAAACAAATAAAAATTGAAATCGAAAAGGAAAAGGAAAAGGAAAGAAATTAACCCATTTTGTAAGGGGGAAAATCGAAACATCGATAAAACATACAAACTGTGACAATCTTTCCGAAAATGAAAAACCAAACCAAAAAAAAAAAAAATTAAGTGGATAAAGATAATCAAATGCATCGAATTGAAAGGGAATAAATCGAAAGTTACCACGATGATAAAGATTGATGTGTGTATATAGTATGTATATTGATTTGTTGGAACTTTTGATGGATCGACTGACTTGAGAAGATGAGTGAAGGTGAGTAGAGGATGATATGTACAGATTTTCTCTATCTCTCCTTCTCTTGGGTTGACAGCAGAGTACCTAGAAACAGAGCATTTGGTACGTGCCAGAAAGAGGAGGGAAAAAAAGGAGAGGCCGACGAGGAGTGCAATGTGTGTTTGTACTCGGATGGGTAATGAATGAATACAGCACAGGTCTAACATATGATTATTTATTCGGTATTTTTGAAATATAAATACGTGATATTTTATAAGATTTTGATTGATATTATAAAATTTTAATTGATAGAGAGAGAGGGGTAGAAACTCACCATCTATATTGGGAATAGAAGAATAACATGAGACTAAATAATTAATAATTAACTTAAAATACTAACTTTTAATATTATGAGATTATTGAAACAAGCCAAAATATTTGAGCTCGAGCTCGGCTCATGTAAAATTTATGTAACTTGAACTCGGCTCGTGGCGGCTCGTTAGCCAAGAGAAATCTATAGAAAACATGAACCCTCTGCACTTACATAGAAAATTTTCCACCTTGAAAGGTATTGTGCAACCTATGTGGGATTTTTCAACCAACTCACCAAATGACGTAGTTTGGCACACATCTTATTGCATTATTTCAGCCCCACATTGTTGAAGAGAAGCTATGCACAAAGTCCCAACCGTTACAAAAGGTTTATAAGGGTGAGTTGGTGGAAACTATCACACTAGTCAAGGAAAGGAAAGTAAAAGCAAAGCATTGAAAAAAACTTTCAATGATTATTTTCTATTAAACTAATCAAGATTATTTATCATGATCAATTTAAAATGTTTTAGCAAATACAAATATTATATAATATATAATATATAATAATATACGTATATATAAATGTAAATATATAATATATATACTTGAGCTTGCGAGCTTATTCGAGCCAAGTAATATTAAGTTCGGGCTCGGCTCGTTTATTATTCAAACTCGAATCTTAAGCTCGAACTCTTTTATTTAGTTAATGAACCAAGTACGAATGAGCTTTAACAAGCCGAGTTCAAGTTTGTTCATGAACGGCTTCGTTCGTTTGCAGCTCTAGCTTTGGCACAACGTTTTATCCATAGATAGATGGACAGTTTGAAAGAACAATACACAATTTGGAGGGCATACTCCGAACTTGTGTCATAAAGGAAGTTGGATAAGCACTTGCCATTGATCGAATTTTGCATTCAACAATAGTTTTCAGGCCAGCATCGAAACGACATCATATGAAGCTCTTTATGGATGACCTTGTCAAGCACCGAGTTGCTGGACAGAAGTAGGGGAAACATCCTTTCTAGGGCCAGACTAGGTCCATGGGACCACATAAAAGGTTAAGGTAATTATACAAAGTTTGATCACAACCCAAAGCAGGCAAAAGAGCTACGCAGATCAATGAAGGTGACCATTGACTTTCGAGGTGGGAAATCATGTTTTCCTAGAAGTCCTCATCGGTGTACCATGTCCTTTGGAAAGAAAGGGAACCTAGCACCATATTATGTTGGACCTTTTGAGGTTTTAAGCTAGGTTGGAGAAGTAGTATATTGATTGACATTACCACATAAGCTAGTGGCAATACATAATGTCTCACATTAAAAATGTACGAACCTCATCCATCCCACGTAATCAATTGGAGAGGAATCAATCTCGACGAAGATGCAATTTTTTGAATAAAGGCTCGTAGAATCATGAATCTTGGATAAAAGAACTTCCGAGGCCTAGTTTTCCGCTTAGTACATATATTATGGCAACACCGGGGAGTCGAAGAATTTATTTGGGAAAGGGAAGATTCAATTCGCGCCAATTACCCTTAGTTGTTCCAGGATAAAGATAAGATCCAATTTCGACAATGAAATTTCTTTAAGGGGATAGGTTGTGTGAACTTGCAATTTTAGATAACTGTTAAAACACTAGATAGCCAGTTCCCAAATGGGGCCTGAAGTTAGTAAATTAAGTCAACTAGATAGTTATAAACACTAGCCAATTCCCACCCCTTCTTTTCCACGCCATTTTGACTTTGTGTAAGGATTGCTTACCTATGCCAACACTCAACCACCCTAATTACCTAGGTGCTAGAAGGGTGGCAATGCCACCCAATGAGGTTACATGCAACTAAGGAATTTCTTTTCTTTTTGTTTTAATTTTTGTATTCAAATTGCCTATATAAGGAGGCTCTTCCCTCCCCCCCTCATACCCACACCCTTCGGCTGAAGGAGAGGGAGAGAGGAAAGAAAGAAAGAGAGAGAGAGAGAGAGAGAGAGAGAAGGAAGAGGGGAGAGCAAGAAAGAGAGGGAAGCAAGGAAGGAAGGAAAAGAGGAGGTATCAACTCTTAGCAATTTTTCTTAAAGCTTCTTGAGGTAAGAATACTACCTCTACCCTTATTCATGGCTGATTTATATGTTATATATGCAAGATTATGTGTTATTAGTATACTTATAGCAAGCAAAGTCAGGTTGGTATAATGCATTTTCATCTCTTGGCTGAATGAGGCTTGCATGACTTTTTGAGCTTCAAACGAAACCGAACAGTGGTGAGATTGGAACCGTTTGCTAGATAGACAAGTTAGGAACATTTTTCTAGAAGAAATGAAAGGCCAAAAACCTCTGTAATAAAAATTCTTCAAAGAAAATAGGACAGAATGTGTTGAGAGTTCCGTAAAACAGCCGTTTCTCTTTTAATATTTATCGGTTCTTAGTAAAATCAGTGGAAAATGAAAGAAAAATCGTATATCTAACTATCCCTAGTGGCCATGCTCGGAAATGATTTTTTTGGAGAAAATGGTGATCATTCAAAGTTGACTGTTGCTGTTGTGTTTTATGCAGCGACTAAGAAAAACATTTATTTCGGTGCAAAATACCCTTCGATGATTTTATAAAAATTCATGTTTATAATAGTAGATTCTGGACAATTTATTTGAGCCTTATCAAGTCATTAGAAAGGAGTTTTCTAAAATTTATTTGAGCCTTAGCAAGTCCTAAAAATTCTGAACAATGCTGAAAACTTGATGTTTTAGTAAGGATGAGCCATCACCACTCTTTTTTACACACATGCAAGGTTATTCAAGGATAATGAGATGTAATCTAACATGTAAGGAAGTAAAATCAGTAGATATACTAACAAGCTAGAAGAGAATGAAGCTCAAAAAGTCATTCAAGCCTACTTCAACCAAGAAATAAACATGCATTGTACCAACCTCACTTTGCTTGCTATAAGTACTACTAACCTACGAAGCACGGATACTTCAAATAGGGTGATGTATCCGTATCGTATTCGTATCGGATACCGATACTCCTTAGATACTCACAGATACGTATCGGATACTTATTAAAAGTATCGGATACTTCTTAATTATTTTTTCATTAATTTCGGAGTATCGGATACTTCAAGTCATGTTTACTTGTTTTATGAAATTAGAATTGTAACATTTCTTGCATAGTAACATGATATGATATAATATAATATAATTGCAAGTATAAATATAAGAATATTTTTCTAATACGTTGTTATGTTCTTCGATAAGAAGAGTATAGTGAGTTAAATAATAGAATTTATCAAACTGATGTATCCTAATTATTTCATGCATGTCCCCTATAACTATATGGAAAGTAAGAATTAACAAGAGAATATAACAATAGTAAAATTAATTATCAATAAATGAATAAGCAAGTAAACTTGAATACAATATTTTTCACTAGTGTCAAAGGAAAAAGCATAGGGACAAGTTGTGAATTGTTCTATTTTTGTAATATAAATATATTAAACTTGATATTAAAATGAAATATTTGCAAGACCTATTAGAAATTTAAGAAGTAAACAAGCTACTAGCTTAAATTAATACAAAATTCTTAAAAGTTAATATTTTGCATTATAAAATTACATTGTGATTTCTCAACGTTCTTTAGCTTATGTGTAACTCACTATTAATAATTTTAAAAAATATATTTTTCACAAACGTATCCTAGCCGTACCGGTATCCTATTTTTTTAGGCTTTGTCGTATCGTCGTATCCGTATCTCGTATCCGTATCTATGCTTCCTAGCTACTAACACATGGTCTTGCATATATAACATATAAATCAGCCATGAATAATCTGAAGGGGGGTAGAGATAGAGTATTCTTACCTCAAGAAACTTTAAGAAAAATTGCTTAGAGTTGAGATCTCGTCTCTTCCCTTTCTTCCTCTCTTTCTCTCCTTCAGCTGAATGGTGTGGGTATAAGGGGAGAGCCTCCTTATATACGCAATTTGTGTATAAAAATTAAAACAAAATGAAAAGAAATTTCCTATTTGCATGCAACCTCAATGGGTGGGATTACCATCCTTCTGGCACTTAGGTAACTAGGGTGGTTGAGTGTTGGCATGTGTAAGCATTTCTTAAACAAATTGAAAATAGCATGGAAAGAGGGGGTGGCGGGCCTCTTTCTCTCTGTCTCTCTCTCTCTCTCTCAGGTGTATACATTTTCTTTCTTTCACTAGTGTAAGAAAGGTATCTCTAATATAATAATAAATTTTTACTTAGAAAGATCTAGAGTTTATAACTATCTAGTTGACTTAGTTACTAACTTATTAGCAAGTTCTCATTTAAAAAATTTTGATTATAGAAAATAACACAAAGAATAATCACAGAAAATAATGCATGGAGTTAAATTTTAAGGAGTTTAAATTGTAGATGTTTGTATGATAACACTTGTTTATAAAGTTTTAATTTAGTTATTGGAAACTTATCTATTTAAAATAATTAAGCTTTTAACAGTCATATGAAATTATGAGTTCTCACAATACCTAACTCAGATATCAATCAATTCTTGGTTTGTAATAAAAGTGTCTTCTAATGCATCTTAGGATTTAAATTTGTGCTCCTTGTATCATTATATGGTGAATTTGGAGTGCTTTATGATCCCTTAATTCTCGCTTTATATCCTTTCTTTCTTAGATTCACGACATCATGCTTGGAGGCTTGGGATCCTTGGTTTGGTTGCTTGTCTGCTCATATGGTCGCCTTTGTTCCCCTGGCCTGGTTGACTAGCCTAGTTAGATTATCATTATCACACACAATTCTATGCTTGTATATTTTAGGATATGTGCAATTTCAGATCACTATAAAATTTATCTTGAATTGGTCAAACTAAAGTGAGAATGGTTACAGTCTATCTACATGCTTCAACAATAAATTGCGAGTCA